ATGGCCTCCCATTGCTGCTTCCCAGGCCAGTAATCTGCCACATCAGGCCCACCGTAGCCGTACTCCCCTCATGCTGCTAAAAGCCAGGCCCGTAATCTGTCATGGCCCCCTGTATACCTTAAACCGCCACTCCATGCGTGTCTGACCATGGGTCCAGAGTGTGTCATGGGTCCCCCTGTACGGCTCCCATTGCTGCTGTCCTCCATATCGCCACACTCTGCCATGTTCCACTTTCAGGTCTCCTCACACTGCTGGTGGGTTCCATTTTGTCATAGGGGTGCTGTATGGCCTCCCATTGCTGCTGCCAGGCCCGTAATCTGCCAGTGGGCCCTTGGGCCCCCGTACCGACTCCCAAGTTGCTGCTAGTGCTGCCAGGCCCGTAATCTGTCATGGCCTTCCTGTAACCCGCCTCCTCATGCTGCTGCCAGGTCCAGAGTGTGTCATGGGTCCCTGTAACGAACTCCTCCCATTGCTGCTGTCATCCATCGCACACTCTGCCATGTTGCCACTTTTCAGGTCTCTCTCACACTGCTGGTGGTGGTTCCATTTTGTCATAGGGTGCCTGTATGGCCTCCCATTGCTGCTGCCAGGCCCGAATCTGCCATGGGCCCCCGTACCGACTCCTCATGCTTATATTCGACTCGAATCGAATTTATTCCGCGAATTCGCCGAATCAGCCGAATCGAATTTTTGAATAATTCGCTTTTCTCTAGTTATAACATTCATGCAAACCAATCAATATACACTTACTGGGATTTTTTTTTCACCAAAGACATGTAGCAGAACACGTTGGCCAAAATTTATAAAGAATTTTAATTTAAAGTTTTTTGCATTGGATTTGTTTTATAGCAAAAAATTTTTTTTTCAAAATGTCAGTCTTTTTTGGTTTATATCACACAAAATAAAAAACCCAGTTGTGATCAAATACCACCAAAAGAAAGCACTATTTATGTGAAAAAAAAAATTATATATAAATTTCATTTGGGTACAGTATTGCATTGTTGAGCAATTGCCAGTTAAAATATAACAGTGCCGAATAGCTAAAAATGGCCTGGCCATGAAGGGGGTAAAATCTTCCAGAGCTCAAGTGGTTACTGTATGACTTTCCTTACTTTTTCTGGAAATGAATTTTAAGTCTCGGTTCACACTACTGCAACCTGAAAATAACGCAACTTACAGTGCGCCCTTTTTCAAGCGACTTCCTGGCGACTTGAGTACTACTTTGATGTGACTTTGAAGCAACTTTCAGGGAATGCCTGGGTAATCTTCCTGCAATGTGGGATCCAAATCACATCAATATAGATGAGGATCCCATTTTAAGACAACTTCCATTAAAGTCTATGGGCACAAATCACTTTGAAGTAGTACAGGAACCTTTTCTAAAGTCGGAGCGACTTCAGTAGTGCTAATTAAGACAGCTTTCATTGACTAACATGGGATTTCACATGTCATGCAACTTGGGGTCTCACAAGTTGGATACCAAGTCGCGGCAGTGTGAACCAAGCCTAACTAATTTTATCAGCCTGAAGTATCCTGATTAATGTCACATTGTACTAGAGAGAATGTAAATTGAGTATTGACTGGAACTTGTTTCTTTCTATAATGCAATAAAGAAAGAACAGGATTGCAATGTGACTGCTGTTCTTCCTCTGCATACCTTTTATACCCAACCTTCAAATCACAAAACATTCTTTAAGATAGCCTTACTCATTTGAACAAAGGAACACAGTGCCTCTAAGCGTGTACTGTAGTAGTATTTAATAAAAAGATAAGTAGTAACTCACAGCTTAGAAATTAAAAACAGGTAGTAGAAAGGTAAAATGGCTTGTGCCAGATGTTTGGGTGACTGTACCAGAAGGAGATAGTCTAGGTCCGCCAGTTTCGATATATTGGCTTAGCCACAACATTTCCTAAAAATAATTAAAGCTGATATTCATGCATACTGTAACTTACCAGTGATGACCGTAACATAATTTTGTGACACTTGAGTTCCTGTTTGAGTCTTTCAACCTATTTTAATATCAATCAACTGGTCAATATTAGTACAAAGACAGGTGGTACTACTGTGAACCAGCATCTGTTTTCATGTCCACATTAAAAAGGACACGACATTGAGTGCAGACGAAAAGTGTAAAAGGACGCATTTGCTCACCGAACTCCAAGATTCCATACACAAATTGGAAGATCAAATTAAATCCGAACACTCCAATGACGGGGCCAACCAATTAACAGTTTTATGACATAAACTTGCACAATGTTTTGTTTCTCAGTATGATCTATACTTAAAAAGTCTTTCATAGCAGGTAACAAAATTGGCTTGCATTTAGTGTACCAAATTAAAAAGAAAATAGCCAAAAATAGAATAGAGTACCTCCTTGACTCATTACCAAGCCTGCCCATAATGAAAATACATTTGCAGGATCAGGGACGGACTGACCATTTGGAAACTCGGGCACTTCCCGAGAGCCCGGGGTCAGTAGGGGGCCCCATGAGATGCCCCTGGTACCTTTTTCATAAGCTTTTTTGAGTTTGGGCAAGGACACAGGGGCCCCATGATCCCCTATTGCCCGGGGGGCCCCATGAGTTGTCAGTCTGCCCCTGTGCAGAATTTCTACTCAAACCTTCATAACCTTTGCCCAGATCAGACAGATCACTCTCCCTCTGATGAACAGATACAGACTTTCCTTTATCCAAGGTCCCTGACCCAACTCGCAGAGATTTTAGCCCCCATTTTCTGCCCCAAAGATCCAGGCAGCTATCAAGAAATTACCCCTACACAATTCGACGGGCCCAGATAGATTTAAGAATGACTATTATAAACTTTTCTGTTCTACTTTGCTCCCTCATCTGCAACAGATTTATGACCAACCTGCACTCTTTTCTCCTTCCCTCAGGATTACCCAAACCAAATAAACCCCCTATATCTCTAGCTAATTATAGGCCAATCGTTCTATTAAATACTGATGTAAAAATATATGCCAAAATTGCAATGAAATTAGAGAATATAAAAAGGACACATGGCATCACATATTAAAGCAATGAACAGTCTCAGATGTTAAATTCTACTTATCTTTTTTCAAAAATTTTCATGGGCCTCACGGTCCAGTTTTCCATAGTTTATAGCTTGAATAGACAGCAGTTTTTGATCCACAAAACAGGATTTTTTAAGTGGGCTAATAAACAGAAGGTCTTTTATGTGCAAGTTTTTTGAAACCTCATACAATGCCTTAGATTATAACAGGATTCTATCAGTACACACCATTTCACCAATTTATGGTCTTTATAGCAATTCCAGGCATTCATATCTTCACTTAAATGTAACCCACACCATAAGTGTCTATATAAAAATCTCAAAAATAAAAAGCATACAGTATATGTGTTCATATTATCCAAATTATTTTCTTCTGCCAAGAAAAATCATACTGCTTTCATCTTGTCCTGGGTCCCTAGGGCTTATCGGCTTCATGGTAATCACTGTCTGTGGTTGTTATAGTTATGCTGTTGGATAATTATATGTTCTATATAAAAAAAATCCTTGTAATTAGTTGTAATATAGACATGTAGGCATGCACCAGTTTGTATAACCAGTGATATCCTATTTAACTTCTATTAATTATTTTACGAAGATGTAAATTTACTGTTGGTGAACATGTATTATATTTTTAATCCATTCATGTGATTCATTTTATCCCATTCTAGAAAAGAGAAGAGGAAGAAAGAAGAAAAGGTGAGGAACAGATTCGCCAACGGGAAGAGCTACGGGCAAAAGAATTGTACTTGAGTCTGAAGAGAGCTCAGCAACAAAATCAACGCAATGAGAATGACGAGGAGGAGTGGCAAGAACAATGTAAGTGGATGTGAAAAGAGGCTCTGCATCCATGAGCCATTGCTTCCTGCCTAAAAGTTGTTATTTTTATGATTCTAAAAGAAGAATTACTTACATCACTATAATACAAGAAAATTGCAGTCAGGATCAAAATAATCAGTGGAATTACATATTCACATGTTATACGTGCGCAATATTCTTTTTGCTAAACTGTGAGCTGCAGCAGTACCTGAGCTGAAGGGTGCACTCGACAAAGCGCTAGTTCCTAAAGTACTGTATATGTCTAGACAAAGGGAACGCTTCAACAGCAACACAGAGCAAAATTAACCACTTGCCGACCCAGCACAGTACATATACTGTGGCAGGGCAGCATATATAGTCACAATCCTGTACATATACAGAATATTGCTAGAAGGTATTGGAAAGCCTACCTTTACGTGCACATGAACTTTAATGGCATCCCAATCTTAGACCGTAGGGTTCAATATTGAGCTGGCCCACCCTTGGCAGATATAACAACTTCAACTCTTCTGGGAAGGCTGTCCACAAGGTTTAGGAGTGTGTCTATAGGAATGTTTGATCATTCTTCCAGAAGCGTATTTGTGAGGTCAGGCATTGATGTCCGATGAGAAGGCCTGGCTCACAGTCTCCGCTCTAATTCATCCCAAAGCTGTTCTATCGGGTTGAGGCCAGGTCCTGGTTGTGCAGGCCAGTCAAGTTCCTCCACCCCAAACTCGCTCATACATAACTTTATGGGCCTTGTTTTGTGCGCTGGTGTGCAGTCATGTTAGAACAGGAAGAGGCCATCCCCAAACTGTTCCCACAAAGTTGGAAGCATGAAATTGTCCAAAATGTCTTGGTATGCTGATGCCCTAAGAGTTCCCTTCACTGGAACTAGGGGGCCAAGCCCAACCTCTGAAAAACAACCTCACACCATAATCCTCCCTCCACCAAACTTTACACTTGGCACAATGCAGTCAGGCAAGTACTGTTCTCCTGGCAACCGCCAAACCCAGACATGTCCATAGGATTGCCAGGCAGGCAAGTGTGATTTGTCATTCTAGAGAACATGTCTTCACTGCTCTATAGTCCAGTGGCAGCATGCTTTACATCACTGCATCCAACGCTTTGCATTGCACTTGGTAATGTAAGGCTTGGATGCAAGTTGCTCGGCCATGGAAACCCAGTCCATTAAACTCTCTACGCACTGTCGTTGTGCTATTCTGAAGGTTTGGAGGTCTTTAGCTATTGACATTGCAGACAGTTGGTGACTTCTGCGCACTGTGCGCTTCAGCACGTGCTGACCCTGCTCTGTCATTTTCCTTGGCCTACCACTTTGTAGCCGAGTTGCTTTTGTTCCCAGTTGCATCCATTTTGTTACAATACCACTAACCGTTGACTGTGGAATATTTAGTAGAAAGGAAATTTCAGGGATGGACTTATTGCACAGGTGGCAACCTATCACGTACCACACTTGAATTCACTGAGCTCCTGAGAGCGACCCATTCTTTCACAAATGTTTGTAGAAGCAGTCTGCATGCCTAGGGGCTTGATTTTATACACCTGTGGCCATGGAGGTGATTGGAACATATAAATCCAATGATTTGGAGGAGTGTTCCAATACTTTTGGCAATATAGTGTATTTTTTAAGCAGATGCCCTAGAGAATAAATGGTGGGTGTTGCAATTTTTTATGTTACAAAGTATATGTTTTTTTAATGCAATTTTATTGGAAAATAATATGATTTAATGAATTTTAATTCCTAAACACAATATAATAACCAATTGTTTATCAAAATATTAAAGATGATGTTACATTGAGTAAATAGGTACCTACCATGTCACACTTCAAAATTCTACAATCGAATTTCAACAAACTACTGTTCTTAAAAATTTCCATTGACAAAGCTTTAAAAGCCTTTACAGGTGAACTGCTTAGCTTTTACAGGTGAACTGCTTACACGGAAGGTCTGATACTAGAAACATTGCTCTTTCTATAACGTTTGAAGCAATACCTCACATGTGTGGTACAATCAACATTTACATATTTGGACATGGCCTATATATGCATTCACTTCTGCTCCCAAGTATGGGGGGGGGCATGAGTGCTTTAATTTTTTTTTTTTTATTTAAAGTGTTTTACACTGTCTTTTTAATTTTTGTTTTTAATCAACTTTATTGCTATCATAAGGAATAAACAACATTCCTTGTAATCACATGGGCCGGTCAATAAACTCAAAACCAAAACTAGAAGTAGCAAAATACTTGTTGCCAGGGGCGGACTGACCATTTGGAAACTCGGGCACTGCCCGAGGGCCCGGGGTCAGTAGGGGGCCCCATGAGATGCCCCTGGTACCTTTTTTCATAGGCTTTTTTGAGTTTGGGCAAGGACACAGGTGCCCCATGATCCCCTATTGCCCGGGGGCCCCATGAGTTGTCAGTCCGCCCCTGCTTGTTGCTTCACATTTCTTAGACCATGGAGATGATCAGGGACCCTCCAGTCCTCAATCATCTTTAGTGTCAGCTGGTGGAACAACCAGCTGCAGTTCCAGGTTTCCAAGTGGGGTGGGAAAGCCCGGGAAGATGGCAGAAGGTGGGGGGAATGGGGGACCTACTTCCACCGCTTGTAAAAGGAATCCAGTGGCTATTTAGCCACACAGATTGCTTTTACTGCATCACTGGCTGAAAACAGTGATATTGAGTTTATGACTGCAGCTGTAGCCATGGCCCCGATATCTCTGCTTCAACCAGAGGACATAAGGGTACGTGCTATAGTGCTGAAGCAATTTAGAAAAAAAATTTAATCATTTTGAAATTGATGGCAGTAGCACATCTCAAAAATGTTGGGACAGGGCCATGTTTACCACAGTGTACTCCCTCTCTTCTTTTAACAACACTCTGTAAACAGTTGGGAACAAAGGAGACTAGTTGCTGAAGTTTTGGGAAAGGAATGTTGTCCAGTTCTTTTTGGATATAGGATTCTAATTGCGCAACAGTCCTGGGTTTTCTGTGTTGTATATTTTGATTCAATCTGTTCCAAATATTTTCAGTTAGTGAAAGGTCTGGACTGCATGCAGGCAAGTTAAGCACCCAGACTATTTTACTACGAAGCCATGCCACTACGAAGACTTAGATGCAGCATGCGGTTTAGCATTGTCCTGCTGAACTATCATACCATCACACATGCAGACTTTTGAACTGAGTGCTGATAACTAGCTGGAAGGTCCTTTCCCTCTTTAGTCTGGAGGACACAGAGGACACAGAGTCCATGGTTGCCAAAAAGAATATCAAGATTCTATTTGTCTGACCGCAAAAATATAATTAAGGAGAACTTGCTATTTCTGTAGCTTTGATATACATTAGATGGTGCCACTGTTGGCTGTGCACCATCCTGTGCTATATGTGTGACAGGATGTTGAATATTAGATTTGAATTCTATCTATGCCTTTTTGGCAGATTTTCCCTCACTTCCTATCTTGTGACACCAGGGATGGGCAGATGTGAGGGTAAATCTATAAAAGAGTCCTGGATAGCAGCACACCCAAAAGAAAATCTTATTCTTCCCTATTTTATTCAAAACTAGGAAAAACTTTCTGTCTGGACATACACATTAAAGTGGATCTAAACCCTAAATGGATCACATTTAATTTGTTAAAGCAGTATATCCTAAATAATTGCCTTTCATTAAAATATTCTTTTTACCCATTTTTGAATCTCCGTATTGTTGATCACCTGTAATCTCTTTCAGCCACGTCTTGTCTACATGCACGTGCTTCAGTGTGCTCTGGAATGACTTTCTGATGGGGACATAAGTGGACAATGCTTGCATAATGTGTATCAGCATGGCCCCTTGTAGTCTCAATCAGAAGTCCATGTGACATGGTGACAACACGGAAGCACTCAAGCAGCCACAATTCCTATCTAACCTGACAGAAATCCAGTGAGCCCTCACTTCCTGTACACACTGACTCTACTGCACAGAAATCCGAAGTAGTGTTGTCTACCCTGTCTAGCTCTCCTCTGTGGACTACAACCCCCAAGTTACAGAGATGATGAGAGAAGTGCAACATAAGAGAACTGAGCAGGGTTGATAACACTTCATTAGATTTCAGTTCAACAGAGACCCTGGTGTCGTACACAGAAACAGAAAGTTAAGAACATACTGGATTTCTTGTAGATCAATCAGTACTTTTCTGTATTTGCTGAGTATTAAAAGATTTAAAACATAGGAAACATGAATGTATTGGAGAGTTGTTCTGCATAAGTTTTTTTTTATCAGGTATACACTTTAGGCAGTCTCTAGTGGAATTCTCCAAATCTCCCTATTTTAAACAAAAATTATATTTAAGCAAGCATGTAAAATGGGAAGCTCAGAAAAATACTTCAAGGTAAACACTGTAAAAAATACCTCAAAATATATGCTCAATGGAAATACACTATACTTTTCCTATAAAAGATGCATAGACCAAACAGATTTTAATAGATTTTGCAACAAATACTCTAATTAGCTCAACAGTGACACACTAAATCCCAGGTTACTAGTTTGCCCTCAAGGCTGTTCTGGAAAAGCATAGCTGTAGGCTTCATAGAACAACATCTTATTATATAGACAATTTATATACACTTTCTACTTGGTTTCGGTCTTTACTTCTATTTTAATAAAAAAAATCACAAAATCATTTATACTAATTTGCTTGATCCTGTAATTAAATTATTTTACTTCAAGGCTACCTCTAAACAAAACTGGTATTTTGTTATTTTTCTGTTCAAAATACCCTCTAATTAGCACCATGCAGGGTATGCGGTTGTCTTTCCCAGCATATCTTAGCCTTGAGCACTGAAACCAGACCCTGCTCTGCCTCTAAAATTAAACAGCAAATTACTCATCTCTAGAGAAGTAATTTGTTAATTGGCATTCAAGATTATTTGGTCAGTCTTACATTATACTGAAGCATCTGCAGTAAGTTTAACACGCAGTCTTTCAAAAATAAAAGTAATAATAAAAAAAAAAAAAACAGATTAGGAAACACGTGTAGGGGAGTTTAACTCATACCAACAGATCAAAAAACATCTTAGCTTTACCTGTTCTAAAGTGATATTTTCTGAAATTTAGTTATTACTCCTGGTTAAAAAAAAAAGCCTGCATCTGGGCTGTGTTTGTTAATGCAAACCTGACCTGGACTAAAAATGCCTCAGGTAAAAACTGTGGGGAAGTGTAGGCTCCTTCTGGTGATTGAAAGTATCTATATTAGTCTTTAACTGGGTCCTGTGGAGATCCTTGAATTGTAGAGTCAATCTATATGTAGGGCCTCAACTTTCTTTCAAGTCTAAAGACTTAGATTACCTGTCTTGAAGTCCTGCTCCTTATTCGACTGCTAAGTTCAAGAACTTCTACTGCCCACTCATACTCCAGCATTTGACAGTTGAATGACAGGGGTGGGGCTTAGCACCAGGGGTGGGATTAAAGTGGTTAAAAGGCAAAACTTTTTTGCCTTAATGCATTATCTGCATTAGGGTAAAAAGCCTTTCAATAGTTGTACCCCCAGCCCCCCTTTTAAACACTTATCTGAGTACAATTTTAATCCAGGGCTGTGCCCATCTGCCGCAGCTCATCTCCCCTCTCTTTCTTCTCACAGGTGACTCAGCAGCAGAAGTCATTGGCTCCTGCTGCTGTCAGTCAAACCCTGTGAGGAGGAAGTGGGCGACAGTGTCAAGCTGCGATGTGCATGGATTGAGCTGATACAGGTGCTTCTATAGCAACCTTTACAGTGGATTTAGTCTCGACTTGTAGAAAAGTTGAGGCTTCACATACAACTTGAGCTTCAGCTCTAAGACACTCAACATGGACACCAGAATCCACTTGAGGACCAACACAAAGGTACTTGTAGGCACCATGAGAGAACTTGTCTTAAAGACAAATTCCAGGTATGGATATTTTAACATGGGTACTTTTGTCCAGCTTGGATCAGTGTAACTATGTGTATACCATACTGCTACTACAGTAATGTCCACTCGCTCCCAGGTCCTGTGCTCAACACAGATACTATCCACTTTGTGGTTTTTCAATGATTGCCAAGCGTTCTTTAAATTGGATGAGGTGGAGAGGTGGGGCATGACATCATGCTCACTATCTCATCCAAACAATGAATGGTTTGCAGCCATTGAGAAAATGCAGCAATTCCCCGATTGGCACCTGTGCAGAGCAGCCAACCTCCACAATGCAGCAGGACAGCTCCTTTGGAGCTGGATGTCAGTGGAGATCACGGTTACAGCTGCCCCAATGTAACTATATAAAAACATCCATGCCTGTAATTCCACTTTAAACACTGTTGTAATGAATGACTATGCAGATGGTTAACAATTAACAGATGGGAGACTGATGTTCAAGCACCCAGCTGATGAGTGGCCAACAGGCAGCTGACAAGCAGGTTAGAATCCTAATTTAGACAATACTTATTCATAGAAAAGGAGAATAAAAATAAAAAGTCAGAAGCAGAGGAATCATTTCAACTTCAGATTTGTAGGTGGATTTAAGAAATA